AAGCAAGAGGTGGTGTTGGAGGGACAGCTGTCCTGGAGCTCGCCCCACTGCTGGGATGGGGACTGTGCTGGGAGGATGGTCCCGTGGGGCTGTGGAGCAGAGGGTGGCTGGGGAAGTGGTGCTGCAGCTCCCTGGCTTGCTGGCACTGAGGGTGCTTTGCTGGGACATGTCCCCTGGTGTGTGTCCCCAGAGAGGAGGGTCCACCCTTGGGTGCTGACCTGGAAAGCCGGGTCCGAGTTGTGCATCTTGTGGGGTGGGAGAGATAGCCCTGAAGCAGACGTGAGCACGTACACATAATGCTCACACAGGTCAAAAGGCACTTGTTTGTAGTCCTGCAGCCTCCAGGAACAAACTGTCACCCCCACTGGGGCTGGGACTTGTCCACAGGACCGTCCTTTCGTGGCAGGGACATTGCCGCAGCACAGCAGGGCATCCCTCCGGGATGAAGGCAAATGCCAGGGGTGGAGGTGCTGCTGCAGAGGAGAGTATCACAACGTGGGGGGGCGGGGGGGGGGGGGGCGAGCCACAGGTCTGCTCCAGCGCTCCCAACCCCCCTCTGGCTCCTTAAATAAGAATGCCAATAACAGCAAAAAGCAGCTTCCCTGGGAGCAGAGGGACTTGGGGCGCTGCTGCGTTGCGCTGTGCGCTGGGTGGGTGGGTTAGGGGGATCTTGCAGCATTGTCGCCGCGATGGCCCCTCTCATGACAAGGCTGCCAGGATTACCCTGGCACGCCGGTGGCCTGTCCCACAGCCTTGCTCTGCTGACCCGGGCAGAGTGCAGGGACGGCCGGGGAGGACGTGGGTGCAGCATGAGACTGTTTCCCCTTTCAGGAGCAGCAGCAGCACGGTGCGGTGGGCAAAATGGAAGAGTAGTTCTGCAACTTCCAGCTTAGGTATAAAAAAAAACAGAGAGCTGAAGCCTCCAGCTGTGCTGGTCGAGACACAGCAGGGGCCGGAGGACTGTTTTCCTCCACGTACTTGGCTTTGCTCCGTGCCTGTGCCAGTGGACGTGATGAGCTCGGATGTCGCTTGTGTCAGACTCATTTCCTTCAGGGATGAGCGAGCCTTGGCATGGGCCAACCCTGAGCCAAAAGCCACGGATGCTAACAATGGCTGCAGACTGCTCCAGCCCTGGCCTTCTGCACCTCCAGCGCTGAAGCCGGTGTGAAGCCCAGGTGATGCGAGAAGCCCTTTGCTCGGAAACAGGCAGAAACAGCTCATGTCTGCACGTGGAAACCAAGTCCATGTGTCCTCAGCTTGCGCCGTTCCTCCAGCTGGGATTCCAGCTCCTTCTCACCTCCCAGCTGAAGGCAGGGGCGATGCCTGTAGCGGTGTGGGGATGGAGCGGCTGG